TATTCAAATGTTATTTTAATTGTTAATATTATTTATTTATTTTATTCTTTGGCCAGGGCAACTTAATTTATACTGTTAAATTATATTGTTTTATATTATGTTATTTATTTATGATTGTGAGCCACTCCGAGGCTTCGGCGAATGGGGCGGCATAGAAGTTCCCTAAATAAATAAATAATATTAATCATTCTGAGTAAAGAGACCACAGCTGGAAGAAAAGAAAATGGATGCATTTGGCTAAGAGTCTTTCACCTCCTGCCCTCAAGAAACTGATAATCTCACCCAGAACAACTTTCCTTGGAATAGGGCTCTGGCAAATGTGGTGAGACTTGTGCCTTCTGGTAAGCATGCTTAGGGTTGTTTCCTAACAGTGCAATCCTCTGCATGTTCACTCAGATGCTGTCTGGGAGGAAGAGGGTTTAATCTCTAGTGACTGCTCAGATCAGCAATCTTACAATTTCTTCTTCCAATCTAGCAGTAAGAGGAGTACATTGGAACCTTTGTCAAAACAGAGCGATGCTTTGCTATCTATTTTCCTGGGAGCAGTTGCTGTTCCATCACCAAGTCTGCTGATTTTCAACTCAGTTCCACTTCAGGGCTGGGGTGGAGGAATGTTTCCTCTTTTTCTCTCAGACTCCTAGGGCCAGACTAGATGTGAAATGAAGTTCTCTTTGTAATATGCAGGTAGAATGTAAGCAGCACCTGCTGAGTGGAGGACTGATTGTTCTTGGGATCATCACTGATGTGGAGGGGCAATTTAACTAGCTGCCCTGAACGAATTGTGACCCATGGGGGATTCTGAACCAAAGCAAATAGCCCCTTCAGGAGAGGGATTTTCCTCACAAGTGCAACAAGGGAACAGAGGGTTAGTGCCCCCTTTGCACCTGCTATCTGATCCGAAGAACAACCAGCACTTTCCTCTCTGTTCTGGCTCAGCAGATGCTGTTTGTCTTGTTAAAATGACCAGGTATTCCATGCAAAGGTACATCTAACCTCATGTCTAGCTTGGTCCTCGCCTTTCAGCAGAAAGTAGGGAGTGTTCTATCTAAGCTGTGTAGGTGAGACATACAAATGACAGTCCTCCAACACAACAGGAAGCTGCTGAGGTGGTCTCTCAAGGAGAATGAGCTTCTTCCACAAGCCACCGTAAAGGACTCTGGAAAGGGATGCCCTTTATTGAGTGGACAAGTATGTTCTAAGCAGTCACTAGCTCTACACCAAGCAAAGTACTGGTGAAATTGGAGAGGATATGAATAGTCACTTTTCAAAGATGGTATAGAAAAACAAAGTAATGATAGCACCTGTAAAGTATCTAAATCTTTTATTTCAGCAACTGCAGCCTGCATCACATTTACAAAGCTAGGCTGGCAACATCAATCAGTCTCAGATCTTAGTTGCACAGTCAAAGGATAAACATGGTGAAAGGAAGAGAGTGTTGGGTTCAAATCCTTGCTCAGCTGTGCAGATCACTGTGTAGCCTCTGGCAAGTAACTGTCACTCAATCTAACTTACCTCACAGGGTTGTTGTGAAGCTAAGGTGGATAGTCATACACCTGATCTCCCAATTACTTAAGTGATAACCTTGTTAAAGTGTGATCAGTGCATCTTTTCTCTGGTTTGTAATCTGGAAATAAGGGGTGCTCTTTTACCATTCTGATTCAGTTCCACTAAACAATTTGATGGTTCTATTTTCTGATTTTATCACAAGGTTATGAAGCACATAAATTTCTTACCCATGCAATCCAACAATATGTAGAAACCATTATTCCAGTGAGTTTGGGAAGGTAAAAGACAACCAGGACAGCAACCATATAAAAAGAACCATGAACCAAAGTAAAACAAGTTATTTAATGGAAGTCATTACCCTTCTACAAGTGCCACATGTAATCATTTCCTGTCTGGAAACAATAGGCTCAGCAAACGCATTTATATTTCCAAAGTCCATAGAAAAATACTATATGTTTTATGTGTCTTCATATTGAGAAAAGGTGCTTTTAGGGCTATTCGTTAAGACACAATTGGATCTTCCCTCTCCATTTGGCATGATATTGGCATCCAGTGGGCAGGCATCCAATTCAGAAGCAGGTGACTGGCAGCATTTTGCAAAAGATTACATGTGTTTGTTGGAATTCTGAGGTCCGCTTTCCCCACAGCTTCTGTGGCAGCTACTGTGGTGATAAAAGAAGAAAAACAAACAAGCAAGCAAGCAAACAAATGGATTGCTTTAATTGTGAATCAATTGGGCGGCATACAAATGTTTTAAACAAACAAACAAATTTAATCAAAACTGTGTACTTTTTCAGCTCATGTTATTTTTGACGTTAAGGGCCAAACCCATATCGCATCAAATCCTTCTTCACATTTGGGTACATTGAGCAGCAGCCACCCGGGTTCCCAACTGTGTCCATGGCTTAAGTGCAGGAAGGTTTCCCGCTGCCCCATTGTCTCAACAAAACCCCTCTCAGCGTGTGCTGCTTGCCCTAAGAAGAAAGTTGCTATTGACTGGACCAGTGTGGTGTAGCAGTTAGTGTCTATCTAGGACTGGGGGGCTCAGGTTCAAATCCAAGCTAGATGACCTGGTGTTCTTCTTACCACGCAGAGTTGTTGCAAGGATAAATGTAGGGGGACCATTTAGCTCCCTGGAAGACAAGCAGTATATAAATACATTGAATGAATGAACCAGAATAGCCACTTCCTTCCACAGTTAAACAGCAGTCTAGAGGTAGGATTTTCATCAGGACTACAGCATGGATAGGAAATAATGAACTTAATTCATGCTGCAGTCACAATCTTTTCTTTCTTGCACACAGATATGTGTGTATTCGATGCTAATGAAAAATGAGGACTGGAAATGCAACACCCCTTCTCAACAAATCTCTCTCACACACACATGCATGGCAGGTACCTTGATAGCTTTTCCACATCTTCTACTGTCTCTGGTAAGGGCAACCCCTTTGTCTCTGGTAAAAGAGTGACTAGAATCCCACACAAAACAGACAGTATACCTAGAGAAGAGAGAAGTGGAAGACAAACAGTGCACTGTGCATGCCATGAAGAATAAAATTTAACAGTGCATTTTCAGATTGCGCAGATGTGTGGGGGGAGGGGGGAAGCACAAGAAAAGGTCCTCATGACCAGGTTAAACCAGAGTAACCCAATCCCATGAGTTACTACCCTGGGGCAATTAAATAATATTTAAGGCACAGGTCCTCAAAGTGGGACACAACATGTCCAACTGTACCACCACTAGGATGTGGGCCTGATGCCCTCAAGATGGCTCAGCTGATACTTTCCCTTGTGCTAACCTGACAGTGGTAGTGTAGCATCGGCAAGACAGTGGAGATGAAGCAGCAGTCTCTCCTGGCATCCTACAGGCGTCTTTGGCCCTTTGTAAGTCTTAGACACATATATTAACCCAGATTTGGGGGGAATTTCTCTTGCTCATTGGGGATGGCCATTGTGAATTCTGTTGTTGTTGACATTTTAGAGTTCATATGCATGAAAATAGCCCTTGAAGAAGTTTGTGATCACACATTGAGTGCTGTGTCCACTTCAGGGCCCTAAACTTCAAGAAGGGTGCAGACAAACTCTGCAAGGGTTCAGAGGAGGAAAAGAAACATGATCAGGGGACTGGAAAGAAAGCCCTATGAGGAGACACTAGAACAATTGATCATGTTTAGCTTTGAAAGGAGAAAGCTGAGAGGAGATCACAAATACAATGAAATGCAGCACAACAGTTCTTTACAACATCTAAAAACCATTTAAACAAGGAAAACAATTTCAGTACAAATCTAGTTTGTACTGAAATTGTTTCACTTGTTTAAATGAACAGTCGGCATAAATGCCACAATATAGCATTGTTCTTTTTCTTTCTTTTAATAGGGCAGTTCCTGAACAACTGAAGAAAATCTTCCATTCTCTCCAGAAATTCTCTAAAACTGCTTCCCACAGATTATTCTAGTCTTCCTTCCAAAAGAACCATAACAGAAAAAGCAACTCTTTAAAAAGGGTCTTACAATAGATAATCAGAGGAAGCTCTGACCAGATCTCTGCCAGTCGGTACAGCAGAAATGGGGCTACAATGCCCCCTATATCACACAGACCTGAACATAGAGAAACACCAAAGTTTCTATAAGAAAGAGAGAGAGCATATTAATCAGGATGTACACAACAGCTTTTCCACAATATATCCATTCAGTTCATTTTTAAATTTTTAAATTGGCCTTAGAAGGGTCAATAGAAGGGTCCCTGGTAAATCCCCCATCACTGTGCCAGGAAGAAAGGTTTGAAGAATCTCTTCCATCCTGAAGTTCAATTTCAGAGCAGTTTTCATAGATTAAAAACTAGAAAAGAAAACTGCAAATTGCAGTTATGTCTGCTGTCCGGCAGGTTGCATCCATGTAGACGAGTGTGTGTGTGTGTGTGTGTGTGTGTGTGTGTGAGAGAGAGAGAGAGAGAGAGAGACACACAGACAGACACACAGACAGACACACAGACAGACACACAGACAGAATGAGAGAATGTTTATTAAGAGATGAACTTTGTATGTTCATGGGATTTTCCATCCACAGCTGAATATGGGAACATGGTGTACATGAGGTCTGAGTTGCGTACATCATAGAGTGGACAGAGCCACTCGTTTTACTTCTGTATTACCACACATCTGCATTGCACAAGTGGTTCAAACAATCTGCATGTGACTTGGAAGGATGATACAGACAAGCAGCACACCAGGTCGCAAAGGATACTGGCTGAGCACCTCACTCCATAGCTCCAGAACTGCTGGTTTTACTGCTTGCCTACCAGCAAACTCAGCAGCAGCATGTAGTCTACTCAGGCAAATGTTAGTGCCCCATGGACCCAGAAGAAACCTCCGTTGTGGGACGGGTATTGCTGATGTGGCTCAGCCAGGTGGTACAGGACTGGGCATATTGCTGGACTTAGCAACTGTGTCAGCTGGAACTCTGGGTCCACATGGTGGCATAACCATCTTAGTTATGCCAGGATGCGTATGTGTTGGGATAGGGCTGGCATGCTTAAGATGGTGAGACTTGCAAATGCAAGTATGCAGCCACAGAAGTGTGCTCCATAGCACTGTTGGCCACTGCTTGTGGCCAGACAGGATTGAAGAACTGGCCACTGTGATGACTCTGAGCAGAGCTTGTCTACTGCCGTCTTCATTATTCCAGCCCTACCAACAACAGACACATACCGGGCAGGAGGCCAATGTAATTTGAATGGTGTTGCTGGAAAGTGCATGGAGCAGCACAGCCAGCAGGGCCTGGAGAAAGGCTTAAAGGCACCAGTTCAGCAGACTTGTGCTTAGTGGCACTGCCATCTCCATTATGCCTGTTTCACCCACTCAGTACAATCAAGATCAGGTAGTCAGTGGTGGGTGACAGGCACTGTAGGGGGTCCTACCAAAGGCAGTTTGCTCAGGACACCACGAAACCTTGAGCTCTTCTTACAACTGTGTCCAATGTGGATTAAAGATCACAAAGGCAGAAGAGCTCTTCCTTTCCAAAAATAGATTAGTTTAAAATTTGGAAGCATCAGATCAATTTTCTGTGTCTTCCTTGTTATTCTCTTCTGGGATAACATGTACCCAGGTGTACGAAAGGAATTCTACAGCCAAGTTCAGTTTGAAGAACAGTGTAGGGGTTAACATCCCAGTCAGAAAGCGAAGAGTGAACACCAAACAAATGCATGTTTTCTATTCTTATGCCTTTCTAATTTGTTGACATTCTTTCTTATATTTTCAAATGCCATGTCAATTCCAGTTCATTAAATACATTGTTTTACATTTTTGTTAGACTTTTATGCATTATTGATTTCCTCTCGCCTACCCTTATACTGCTTTTGATTGCATTGTCAGATGCATGCCCCAAATAGAGGTTTTAAGTTCTTTCTGTATGAGAATGTTAAGGAGATTCCAGTGGCCTAGTGAAACCCCTGGGCATGGGAGCAGGGGATGGAAGATTTTTTAAAAAATAATGTTTGAAGTCTAAGTAGAGTGGCTTAAGTTACTACATTATAAACAGGATTCTGTATCAGTTCATTCATGCCAAATAGTAAAATGCTTGGGAGTTGCAAAAGAGCAGGCACTACTAGTCCCCACCATCTTAATTCTGCCCCATTTCACATACAGTGTAGACCTTTCTAATATGAATAATCCTGTGGCCTCTTGACATTGTTGGGGGCAGCACAATGGCTAGGACAGTTTAAAGTCCCAGCTCTGACCTTCAAAAACCACCCCAAGGTCAGAGCTGGAAGTCCAGTTTTGGACAGACCTCCCTCTCTTCTCACAGCCAGCACCGTTCTTTCCATGCTTGACTAGGCTCTAGGACCATTTCAGGTCCAGCATGTGGGGGGAATTACAGAGGGAATGGAGGAGAGGAAGGAGGCATGGCTGTTCTCTAAAGAATCCCAGTGGTGACTCTGTCTCTCTGTACGAGGATGAGAAAAACATTTAGAGGGTGAGGGGAGTCCAGTGCCGATCCCAGCCTCCTCAACCCTCCTGCCTTCCACTGGATGCCTTTAATTCTCCAAGTTTGAAGGGTACCAGCAGCAGCATTGGAATGCACACTTATTCAGTGTAAAATAAGCTTCAGTCTAGTACCTAGGAATAAGTCAGATTGAAGTCATAACCAGGCAAACATGTATAGGATTGCATTGCTGGTCTACTGTAAGTTGCTTAACTTAATCTGCCCCTTGAAAATGCTTTGTAATTTAGTGCTGATTTCTACGGGTGTATATTTCAAAAAGGTGTATTCCATTTACCTGAACACTGTAGGATACAATTCAGAGTTCACAAGATACACAAGTTCAAAGGATATGGTGATCCCCAGTCTTGCCACAATGGCTACTGATGTACTCAACCGTGGGGAATCTGTTGAGACACACACATGAAGTATTAGCCATGCAGTCCTATGTACCTCTGCTCAGACCTAGGAATTCAGAGAAGCTCATGAGATTGCAACTTCAAGGAATTCATCTTTCAATGGGAATCCAATATCAAGATCCTAGTTCTAATTACCATGATTTTATAATGTTCTCTAACCTGATTACCATTCCACCAGTCTATATCCTAAAATAAATGGTGAGTTAAACACACTTTTAATCATTAAGTACTAAATAACTTCTATTAATTCAAGTTAGCTACTTCACAAATAAATAAACTAGTGAGATTAAACTAGTGAGATGTGCTTCTAAGCTAAATTCAGTTTCATATAATTTGGAACGGACAAAATGGAAGCTTAAAGGATTCATTTGCTTTTTGTTATTATGGTTACCTGGTGAAGATGGGTAACCATCCTACTTCTTGAACAGAAGTGAACTAGAAATCAACTAGGAATGTCATCTCTAGATTTTAAACTGCTTTGCAGCATTACTCAAAGTTGCCTGTAGGGAGCACCAAAAGGCTACTCTTTTGGCATGCAATTGCATGTTAAACTTTTAAGCAGGGGGATGAATGAGAATTTAGTTTCTGTTCACAAATCATCTGAACTTGCCTCCTTTGCAACCTTGAAGATAAACTGCAGGATATTTTTTCATAAAAATTACATATTCCTGACCCTGTGATAGCATTTGAAAATCATTAAAATGTGCATTTAAAAATGATTGTCTCATTTTATTAAATAAGCTAAACTGTCTACTTTTAAAAATACACTTCAAATTGCACACATTCCACATTCAAGCTGAACTAGTGAAACATGTCACAAATACAAAAGGAAGCAAGCGAACATGAGCTTTGAAGCTCAGAAAATTTTGGAGAGCTTGAAAATCCCTGGTTCTCCTATCCCAGCTTTTAAGGAGATGAGACTGATTCTGCATTTTCCCATTAGGATGCAATCCTAGAGGCTTTCCTGAAAGCATCTGAGCTCACCTTCTCTGTCCCCCTCCCCTTATTTATGCTACATGGATGTTTCCAGCCAGCTAAGCTGGGGTGCTTTGGAGGGTTAGTAAAGGAGGCTGCAGAAGACACAACAGAAGTCATATCCTGCTTTCTCCTTCCCACCCACCAGAATGCACTCATGACCACCTCTTGGAGCGGCATCTGGTACAGAAATTTCCATATTCCAATTCCAAAGATAGAGCTCCATTTCTGACCTCAAATCTAAGAATCACAAATACCTATGGCCCCAACTGATGATATCTGGGACCCCTAGGATTGCTCCCTTAAGCAGTTAGGAAAAAAATGAAAATTAACTGGAGTATAACATCTTTATTTGGACCAATGTAATGTCACAAAGTAGTGAGCAACCTATTTCTGTGTTCAGTAATCTTCAGGCTGAATGTTAAGGAAAAAAGGGTGAGGGGAGAGAAAGAAAATGGTTGTTGGACATGATTTATAAACAGAAGGGGGAAATGGTATTTTTATGGTCTCAAAACATAATTCTTCCCCAACCTGGTACCCTCAAAATTAGCTCGACTATAGCTCCTATTATCCCTGATAGATAATTGGAAGAAGATTTCTGGGGATTAGTGAGTTTGTGTAAGCTTAATTATTTTTTGTATTATCCCTTTCTTGCATCCTTTCCTCAATGGGGCTGAAAATAGAGGAAGAGGACAAATAAAGCAAACTTATAAACTTCAAGATGAACCTGGCTGGAGGTGTAATGCATCGTACGCAGATCTTATACACATCTTTTGGACTTTTCTTGCAAGAAAACATGGGAACAATAAAAGGCATCAGAGACTATGACACTGTCCCCACTTGTATCTCTGAAAGGTTTCATTTCAGATGAAGCCTTAGAATTGGACACTGCCTTACTTACATCAGTCAAACTGTAGCAGCGGATGAGAACTCTTCAAGAATCCTGCCAATGTCTGATTGCTTTTCGTGAATACAGACAGTCATTTATCTGACAAAAATTCACACTCCCTCAGTAAACACAGTGGAGTGGGTGCGAGTGGGGTGATTTGCAGCAGGAGAATGGGAGAAAAGGAACTGGGTAAGAAGGCTCTTTTTGCTCCTGATAGTCTTCTACATCAAATTGCAGCTTCGAATGGTGTATTATGTAGAATATTTTGCTTTTTTAAAAAGTGCAAAAAAATCATGGAGTTTGCACTGCCACCTCCAAGATGGAATGGAGGAGGTGTTATGTTAACATAAGCCAGTGAAACTGGTGGGACTTACTTTTGATTAACCAACCATACAACCACACAGTTAATAGAATTTGGTCTAATTGCAATCAGTCAATCACAGGCTGACTCAAAGGTTACTGGGACAAATCAATGGCTGCTCTCATTTTCACTAATATAAAAGCTACCATGTTTTTCTTTACTTCTGCTCTCTTTAAGACATGGTCTGTCTGCTCCAAGTGGCAGTTGAGAGAAATCAGAGTAATTCCTTTTGGGGTTTCTGTTGCTTTAGGATTTACCAAGCAGGTTCTGGTTGTACTTGCTACTCTCCTGTCATGTCAGGGAGAAAGCAACTGATACAAGCTATTTATTCTAGGTCACTTTTATGGGTAAAACTCCCTAATTGGCTGTACCATGCTTATTTAAATGTATTATGCTTCTGTTTACCCACTTTGACACAGTTTTTCACCAAAGAATTCCAGGAGATGCCAGTGAATGTGACAAAGCCAGTTGATTTTAAATTTTGATACAAATGTTGGATTCTTATAACATCCCTCAGCATTCATTTCACTGACCTTATAAAAAATTGTCAGGTTGTGCAACTGTCACAGCTTTATCCTTTTACCTTTGAAAGTCTGAAGTCTACAGAAATCTGATAAGGTGAACCATTGCCAATTGTTTGCTAAGCACCTAGAACAATGGATCACACTCAGCTTTTCTCAGATTACTACTGGTGGAGCAGAAAATTTTACATATCACCACTGCCAGAAGAGGACACATAGTTAACACAGCAAGTAAAAATCCAGGAGAGTAAAATTTTAGTATTTCTGTTACTGTGATTGTACCATTTGGCTTCCTGACTTTTTTCTGGTAGGTACTGAAGGTACAAATAGGTTTTGTAAGAATGACTTGCATATTTTTCCAAATGATACCACCACTTCTACCCCTAAAAAGAAACTGTTCTTCTGGAAAACAGAAATAATTCCCTGTTCTGACAAAGGAACTCTCTTCTCAGTATTTATCAAATCTATGCCTTTCCCACTCTTCTTTCTACAAGACCAAAGTAACAAATGAATGGAATATGTTTGCACTTTGTACTCTATTTAATCTTTTAGTGGCCTAGTACTAACCAAGAGGAAATAGAACTCTAGGATCTGGGGGACATTCTGGGATGGGATTTTATTCAACACTAGTATTACTCAGCAAAATTAATTAGAGCTAAGCTGCACAGACATTGAATGTAGTAAATTGTTTTGGGCAATCCAACCCAGTCCTTCAGAGCTATCATCATTTCCATCAAGGTTTTTTCTAGTTCTTGGTTCTGGTCAGTGCTGGTCAGATATCCTGCCCATGAGCAGATGATGTACCTGCAGGACCACCGATCTGACAGGTACGCTCAACTGACTCAACTGCCCAGTGCAGGGAAGTCTGAGAAGATGCAGATGGATTATTGCTAATGACAAGCTTTTCACCATAAGTAGATCTTTCAATCTAATGGCTTGCACGGTGTCCAACTGTGCTTAGACAATGGATACAGGTGAGATAACAGAAGTTAAGACAAAGGTTAAAATGTTGGCAGGTACTGTAGTCTTGATATATACAGTAGCTCGTCTCTGTGTCCCAATGCATCATGACACTTCAGCCAGTTAAAGATGCACTCTTGCTATTACTACTTACACATCAAGTGAGCATTGTGAGGCATGTCAGAAGACACTTCTACCGGCTCCACTCCTTTCCTCTGAGATCTGCCATTTTATCAAGAAGAAATGCAATTTCACCATTTTCACCTATTTTTACAGTCTTTATACATGTGGATTGTACATCATGAAAGAAAGGACAGATTAGCAATTAACCAAACAAATAGCAATGGAAAAAATTACCTTTTGGTAAAAATGCTGTAATTAAGCACGCAATGCCTGCCACTATGCCACTCATTGCAAAGAGAGGGCACCGGCCAATGCGGTCAATTGTCAGTAAGATTAAAAAAGCTGCAGGTAATTCCATCACAGCTGAGAGGAAGAACTCCAAATAAAGATTTCCTTCTATGATTCCCAGACGCAAAACAAGCCCTTGGTAAACCACTGCACTTGTGAACCTTGAGAAGCAAAACAAAAACAACAAAGCTGCAAAGAATTCAAAGCAGCTGGACTTGCATGGGAAAATGCAAACAAAAAAGTTGTAGGGACAACACAGCTGAGACTCACCAGGCATACATTAAAATTAGAGTGAATTTTCTCATCTGCGGAGTTCTAACTAGGTCGAGAAGAGATGGGTTACTAACCTCCTCATCAGAAACTGTGATCTAAGCAAGAGAAGCAGAGATTGGAACCAAAATAACAGTTTTGTGCAAAAATAAACTAATAAAACAAGGAAATGCAGCTTGATGATTGACAAATGGAACACACAATGATCTGTGATTTGTTCTTCCTAGCTTGAACAAATCATCAAATATTTAAACAAACCCTCTCATGAAAACGTCCTTTGGGATAAACTTGGGTTGGATCAGCCTAATATTTTGTTTGTTATCCAAGCAGCAATATTTACTGTTGTGCTTAAATACTGCTGTTGAATAAGAAAGGGCACCTGTGCCAAAATAAGTTGCTGAGATAGAGTTAAAATTCATCAACACATGCATATTTACCTCTCTTCCCTCTCCACCAAAGATTCAGGTCAAAAACTAATATGGTTTTCATATAACTTTTTAGGACCATCCTGTAAAAACCAACATTTTTTAATCAAAGGATTAACACTGCTTCACCTCGCTATATATTCTAAAAGATTTTTTTTCAAATATTTGTAGTTAAAGAACACGTGGCACAGATTTAAAACTGATTTCATTTTCATAAACATGTGTCATAAATATTACATATAAACACACTTCTATTCTGGAGAGTGAGATAATCATGCAATAGCACATAAGTTTAAAATGTGGTTTAGTGCAAATTTAAAAATTAAAATAATTGGAAACTTTTTTTAATGATGTACTTTTTTTTTAAGAGATGTACTCAGCTGAACTGTCCCTTCCCACCTGGCTGACTCTCTCGTCAAGGCAGGAGGCCTCGTTTGCTCTGGCTCCTTGCTCACAGCAGGCCCCTTCTACTAAGGCTCACCCAGGGCCCCTGTCAGGGCTCCTCTGCCTGAGGCAGTTATGGTGGTCTCATGATCCCTCAGTCACAGAATGTTTTCATGGCACTGCTGTTCTCCAGAGCTTCATTGTGCTTTCTTGCCTTTTTAGGGATTCTTCTTTTGTTGTTGATTTTGGCTGAAGAAAGCCTGGTGTTAAATTTAAACCAGAACATTCTGGAACAAAAACCTTGCGTGAACCTTGCAAATCTGGCTTACCTTGGCTGTATCACAGCACCACCTTATGCTCAGTTCATGGAATAAATAGAAAGGCAGAGAAATACGACCCCCCCCCCCCCAGGAAAAAAAAAAGTCAGTGTAAAGGACATGGCTTTCCTCTCACAATGAAAATGGAAGAAGATGCCTCAGTAATGCAACAGGTTAAATCACATAGGGAAGCTCTCGATTTACCTCAGTGTCCTTCTGACACTAAGCAAAGATCTTTTTACTACCTGAGCTGTTTTATTATCTGTTTAATACTGCTAATGCATTCATTGGGGGTGGGCGGGGTGTATATGTTTGTCATACTTCTACAATTGCAAATTTTTATTCAAAACCACTCTGGTAATCTTCATATTGAGGTATGATATAGAAACTGAATAAAATAAAGATGGGAACAATCATAAATAATATTTAGTTATATGTAAAACTGAGTGGGATGACCATTGGTCGAAACTGTACAATAGATCCTGTCCACATGCAACCCATGTGAGAGAGAGAGCGCGCACTACATCTTGCCTGCACACAACCTCCATTTTGCATCCTGTTTAAGAAAAAAACTAAGAATGCCCCATTGCTGAGATGTTCAACATGACATGTGAATTCTGGGTTGCTGAGGCGGAAACAAGCCATCGTTTGAACACATGGTTTGTTCCACTTGAAACTCTTTCCAAACATGTCAATAGGAAAACTTCTAATTATACTTGAGGGAGCTTGTGCAGGAAAGAAGCCATCAATCTTTAAGTATGCCTTTTGTACTGTTGAGTATTCCTATTCACTTGTGTCCTACTTACTTCTCAGGATACTGTCACTTGTGTACACCCCACTTCTGAGCAATGAGTTGATTAAGAGTTTTCAACTTAGCAAAGGTTCAGTTTTCTTAAAAGGACATCACTGGAGACATATGGCAATTCTGTGATATAAGCTCTGTGTGTGTGTATGAAGCACATTCCTTGCAAAGGGAGAAGAGGGTAAGTCTCCTTCCCAAACAGTCTCCCAAGGTGAGCAAAGGCTGGGGGGGTGAGGGGGTGGGAATCAATGAACAGTCATTTCCATCAATGTTGAACCTGTAACAACAGCAATCCTTCCAAGATGGTGTACAACAAACATAAGCAATCATGATCATGCTGTAATTGATGGCCCTGAAGAGGGGGGACAGTCTGGCCAAAGTAGGCTCTGAGGTGGTCTTTGTGCCTGGGCGTTGAGTGGTAGAAGGCCAGTTGGGGAGGGGGGCAGTCCAGGTGAACCCCAGCTCAGAAGTGATCACCTGCTTGCTCGTTGCCGTGGTTGCATCATCGGGTTTTCAGAACAGAACTTCTTAGTGGATTGTACCTTTTGCCAATATACATGCAGATGTCTTTCCAAAATGAGCGAGGAAATAGAATCATAGCACATGTGCTGTAAGTGCTACTGAATACTTGTTCTCCCACACCCAGTTTTGCATGAAATTACATGTTCTATCCTACACTATTTTTTTAAAAAAATCAACAACAGATGGGAAATTATAATAAAAACAACTCTAGAATGCCACATTATTCAAGGCCACACAGAGCTTTTTCTTACTGCAAAGCTGCTTATTACTACCAGCGCACTGAGATGCCTGCAAAAAATACAGTGTAGTAGATTTTCTCAAGCACTCAGTTCCACTTTGAAAAGTAAAGCTACACCATCTGAGAAGGAACTCCACTAGGAGTACAGCATGTTAAATGCTCTTGACCCCTCGTTACTGCACTTCTGGGAGCATCGTGCTTTCTGCTGGGCGCAGAATCAAGAATGACAGGACTTCTGTATTCCAAAGGAGTATGAAATGGATCCAGAGTGCGGCTTGGAGGTCACGGAGATTACGAATGATAACCAGTTGCAGCTGCAAAACCCTTCGAGTTATGACTAAGAATACTGCTTAAAAATTTAGGCTAAGATGGTCAGGAATGACACAGAGAAAGTAAGGCAACCCCTGCATGCTGAAGGGGATACACCAAGTGTACTGAGATGCTGCACAAACTGAAGAAACTGAGCAGACAGACACCCCCAAGTCCACACATTCCCTCACCAACAGTCTTTAATCTGATCACATATAAGGCTGGTCATCACAGTCATGTGGATAGACAGGCCACACTGTCATAAGAAATAGGTCATGCTCTGCTGTCAAAACTGTTATGAAAAGCTGCACTAACTCTTGGTACTAATTTATGCTATTTTGGCATGTTGTCCTTAGAATTGTAGGATGGAAAGTACTGAATTATGCATTTGATAAAGTCTACTGAAAAAGCTGAGGAAAAATATTGCCCTCTTGAAATAGTACATTTCCAATTATCTTTCTCTCTTTCAATAGCAAAAAAAAGTTGAATAGGTTCAGCAAACATGTGATGCCACTTTAGAAGCAAAGAGAAAAGGTTGTGCATGTACAACCAGGGAAAGGACTTTTCTGACATCTTTTCTTTGTGCCTTCACTGTGTGCCTAGTACTGCCTTCACCTGCCCTGCACCCAGCATCACACACCCTGACAGCCCCATCTCCCAGTGTCCACAAGTTTAGCGCAACATCTGGAAGGAGAGCCAACCCACATACGGCTTTGTGTGTACAGGTTCTCGATCCAATCAGATCTGGTGAGCTATGTACATTGATAGAACATTGTCCCACACCCCATAAAAAGTAATCTTGATGCTATGCTATGATTGGTAACGGTATCAGGACTGTTTCTTCATAATGTTTTGCCAGTGTGCAAGAAGCACCCATGCACATCAGCAAAATACAACACAACAAGAAACTTGTCTACTTATATGTACAGCCAGATCCAGACTGCCTTTCTGGAAGTATTTTGTAGTTCTGTAACAAAATGGAGAAGGCTGGGAAAACATGAAGAATCAGAAGAAATTGAAAAGCTGTTGCACATGGCATATGCGGCAAAGGCCCATGAAACACTACGGGAACAACATGGGGCAATCTTCTGACCTCTGCTCTGGTAAAGAACTAGGAAGCCATGTGAGAGTATCAGATACATTCCTTCTTTATACAGGATTCACTGCGTGTGGCAGAAGAACCACAGGCCTTGTGTGACTCTTGTAGCAGCATGAACTGTCTCTGCCTTGCCAGCATCATGATAGCCAAGATCTCCACCATCTTGTACTGGATATGGTAAAGACTACATACTCCATGTACATGAGCTTCGCAGGATGCGTAGCATAAACTTGGGGGCAATGTACACCAAGCATTTTCACCAGCATTGTAATGCCTGACTCACTGGTGTGTCATGACATCACTCCAACCCTTCTTCTTGGGTATTTCTGTAACCATATTGTAAATTTCTTCAGATTATTCACTTCATGACTTTCTTATGTTTCAGTTTTCCCCTGGTATATTCATCAGTATTCTGGTGCCAGGGGAAATTACCTCAGTGGACTGGGCTGGGAAGTGTTTTATCAGGACTTAAGCCAAACAGCTACAGAAGGAGGAGATTCTTTGGTAACTTTCCCACCTTCCTTGCCCTTCACAGCCTCTCTCCCTCTCTCTGACTTGCAAGTGGTATTGCTTCCCTCTTTCCTTCCCGGCCTTTGCAAAAGTAAAGTTTTGTAAATGTCTTTATCAATGTAAATGTCTTTTCAAACCTTCCCGAGTGCCTCCTTTAATCTCTTACTCAAGAAACAAGTAGCGGAATTGCATGAAGGAAAAATAATCTTCAGTGGCCTCACTTACCAGTCAATTGCACTGACTTCAGTGCTGCTTACTTGTGGGGAAGTCAGCACAGGAAAGGGCTCCACCTGCTTTCTTTTGGGTGAAGGGGAAAGGGGTGCTGGCCCTGCTGGCTTCCGTCCATGACAGGACGGCAGCAAGCAGCACCACAACCTCTCCGTGGATTCTCCTCTCCTCTTTCTCCACGAGTTTTTGCGAGGGGCAGAAGCAGCTGTAGGTTTTTTTTTCAAATTCTCCACTTGCTCACACTTGCAACCAGCTAATGGAGTTTTTATGGGCTGCTTTCTTGTGCTCATCCCCTTTCCCACTCTTCCTATTTTTAGCATAATTGCATTTGCACATGACACAATGCTTTTCAACACACACTATTCAGGAGCCTGTTCCCCCACTGTGAAAACTGCGTTTTGCATAAATGCCAAGACTGAATGTGCTCCCCCCACCCCATCTCCCACTAGTCTCTGGTGTTGTAACTGGTCCAGGAATAAAGTCAAGCATTCAAAATAGTATGGTTGTTAAAACAAAATCCCCCTCTGTCCACCTCTAAAAATGGTAGTGGTATATTGATACCCAGAACCCATAATATCCAGTACCTCAGAAAAATGCGGTGGGAGACTTTTCCCATTGCTTTCTGCAATTGTTTGCAAAACCTTTAGGGCCCTTTTCCCTTCTTTGCGAGTCAGGAGCCACCGGGGAGATTCCGGTATTAGCCTGCAAAGAAGAGAAGCTAGTCAAGCCATGTCTGCCAACAGTATTAAGAAACTGAAGAGGTTTACCTACAAAAAGCAAATCAACATTCTGTGAGATGCTTTTGCTTCCCATTTTTTTTCTGGCAAGCTGGAAGTTCTTGCAGTCTTCCTGCTGCCTTCTTTGTAGACAGAAACAAGCATTGTACTGGTTCAGCAAGCAAATAAACACTGCATACAGGAAACACACTGGAAGCTCCATATACTTGACCCATATCATACTAATAAATCCAAAAGTTCTGAAAACGGGATAAAATGCACATGGATTATGTGGATGATGCATACATGCTCCAGCATATACATAACTGGAAAGTGAATTAATTAAAATTCAGTCATTCTACTTAGTATTTTGCTTTAGATTTACACATTGATTTTAATTGGGCTTATATAAAAAGTATTTCCTTTGTAAAGTCCTAGTTTTATATACCTAGTCACCTAATATGAGTATTATTATTTATAACTGTATCATGGCAACAAGGCAATTATAAATTATATAGCGGTTCAGAGCGTTCAAAGTACATCATTAACACATCACAGTGATTCTTATAACAATCCTGTAATGTAGGTCATTATTATTAATACTTACATACTGCAGAGACTGGCTCATCTCTATATTACATTAGTTCTCATTTTGCTCTAAGAGACCTTACATTAAAGACATTCAATGTGAATTGAGTAAGATTCATTATCCTAAAGGTAAAAGAAGGAAAGTAACAACAAAACAATTACATTACCAGTAATACAAGAGGAAAAGGAAGTTGGGGAATATTGTAGCCAACTGAATCCACCGCCAAGTGGGAATTAAATAAGCAATTCCAGGTAGAATCACAACTCCAAGGGTGAAGAAGATCTGAATTATAATTCCAACTATCCTTCGCTCATCTGAACCAACTATTTCTGTCACTGAATTGACAAAACAAACAAACAAACAAAAAACAGATGTCACTGAAAAGAAACAGCCAATTCACTATTTTTAAAAGTACATCAGGTATCAGGTGGTCAATGCTGTGTGAAACATTTGGGGCAACTTTGCTTTCATGTGGTTGTCTTTCTCCTTTACATAAGTGGATAGAAAGCAATCTCCCAAGAAGGAACTACCAGAATGGCTGCTTATCAGGAATACTAGGAGCTGAAGTCCAAAACATTTAAAGATCTATTTTCTGTCCAGCCCTGCACTAGAGGTTCAATAAGCCAACTAATTAATTCCCAGGTACAAGTACATAGGATTTCAGCCTAAAGTAGATAAATCAGATTCAATATGTAATTAAATGCATCTTTTGATCTAACATGATGGGGAAGTGGATCAGGATCAGAACATGTGCAGCAGTTTCTTCCCTGCAACAGCTGTGACAAAAACAGCACCTTTGAAGCTTAATTATACTTTAATTTAACAAAATTAAATTTCTAGATTTCACCTTCCACTATTGCATTAACAGGGAGAATGGAAAACACACCATGGCTTACCAATGACAAAGCTTGTCATCCAGGTTCCTTTTCCAAAGACACCTTGTAGAAAACGAAATATTGAAAATACTACAATGTTTTGTGCAAAAGCCACGATGAGGCCACATAGTCCTGCCCCAAAGGCAGAGAAGAGATAAATGCGTATTCGCCCATATCTGTCAAAGGAAGCAAAAAGGGATGAGGTGGGAAGAGAAAGAGAAAAGTTTTTAAAGTGCTTGATAACATTTTTCTTTTGAGGAGACAGAGACTTCACTCTTGGGAAGCTTAGAAGTGTGTGTGGGAGTTGTAAGACCTTTTTCTGTCTAAGCATGTATAGGATTGTGCCTTCAAAAAGCTAAAAGGCCTTTTGAAGTGCTGCCGTGTGTTTCACTACATTTCTCAGCAGCAGCAGCTCTAGTACTTGTGCACAGCTCTGTTTTATCAGATGTAAATTATTATTGTGAATGTGTATGCCTTGTGTTAGGTTCCTTCATTTTCCTTCTTTTTTCCCTTTTGCTGTTCTTACCACACTACCCTTGATCTCAGCCAAAAGACTGAAAAGTGGTATTCTTTGTTGTTCTTATTGTTGATTTGCAAATAAAAACATATTAATAAAAACAATCAGCACTCCTTAGCCCCAGTGGTTTTACTGCAGTTCTCCAAGACATCGATTCAGTTCTCTACATGCTAATTTATTGCTGCATTATCACCCCAAGGACACCGAGACCCATCACCCACAGTAGGTTGGTTGCTTTGCAAAGTACCCACAGTGCCCTCAACAGATGATTGGGCTGCCCACAGAGCCTTCACCCCTGCTCTCTCCCCACTGTCCCCCAGGGACACACGAGGAGGCACAAGTCTGACAGCTGTGATTTTGAGCCCATTTTGGCTTGCTGCAGCTGTCCCTTGAAATTTCAGGTCAGCTTTGCTTCTGTTTTTAAAGGGGGGGGGGGTGGCTACACTTTTACCCTTTCCTGAACTCCCAAAGGGCAAAGCCTGCTCCCCCATGGAGAAAGCAGGGGGCAAATGCCAGAAAAGAGGATTCATGTTGGGAAGGGGGTGCTGTTGGAAAACAGCCCCTTCCTGGGAAAGATCCCTCATGCCTTTGTTTTTAATGGGCAGCTCACCTTCCTTGGGCGGCGGGGAAGGGATTCCCAGGCTTGTCAGGACAGTGTGTGGCAGTGGGCAGCCCTTCTGGACATTGCCCAGATAAGACTGGAAATCCCTGGCCCCCACCCCTTACAGAAGGCAAGCTGCCCATGAAGAGCAAAGGTGTGCGGTATCTTTTGCCAGGATCTTTTGCAAACAGCACTCATTTCCAAGAAATTTCCTACTATGCTTGCCAGCAGCTCAGGAGCTGACCTGTCTAGCCACTGGCAAGGATGTTCCTTTCTCCTTGCCAAAGTAGCAAAGAGGAAGAGATCCTTGATGTTATCCTTGCTGGCAGCTTGGGAGGTGTCCTTAGGAGCCTGCAAGGAATATTGCAAGAGCCATAACTGTCTCAGCAAGGAGAAGCAGATCCTTGCCATCCTTGCTACGTGGTCCAGGATAGCAAACAAGTCTAGGAACAAATTCTCCCCTTTGTCCCAACCCTCTGTGATCTTGGGGAAGGATCAAACTTCTCTTCCCACCTTGAAATCAGTTGGCTACTGCCATGGGGCAAGGGGTACCCTCTGCTAGCTAGTCCAAAGTGCAGATTGGGTACTTTGGGGGCAACTGACAATGGCAGTCACTGGTAAGCCACTTGGCCAGACTGGCAAGGGAATTTTGTCCCTCTTTCCACATGGTCCCACCAATGGTGGGTTGTGTCATCCTTGTTTGGCCACCATGGATAACCACAATGCTAGAAGAACCCAGGTTAGCAGCACTGCTAGTATCACCTTATTAATGTGGCTGCATTAAATGACTTACCACCACACATCCCAAATTCTAGCACCATCTGGATGCATTTAGGAGTAACAAGCCATGAATCTGATCTCAGTTTAACAAACTATAAATTTGCAGAAACCACAGTTTCCCATTTTCAGAAGTTTCAACTCTCCTTCCCTCCTGCAGGAGGAAGAGGCGTGAAGCAGGGAAGGCATGTCTGAGTCCAAGGTTATGGCACTGCTTTTGTAAACCTTGGAACCCCTCCAGGTATTAACTGAAGAGGATCTCCTAGCTGTTAGCATAAACAAAGCCAGGCCTATGCACTTCTGCCATTGTGAGGACGGCATCAACACCTCTGTCTGAATATGCTTGCACTGCTCCAGGCTTCCCATTCACTTGGGCTCTGCAGCCTTATTCAGCAAATTGCAGGTGCAAAGCCATTTGCTTACAGCTAACTGCAATCCGCTGCAGTGAGCTTTGGAGGCATGTGATTCCCCTGAGAGAACTCTGGTGAAAACTGAAACCCTGTCCAAGCAGCAGAAGAAAGACCAATGGTTGCAGACAAGAATGGTGGAAGTCAGGGTGATGCACGAAAAGCAAACATCATATGCCTAAAAGAGTGTACAAATGTAAGAACCAGTAGAGTGCTCACAATTATGTGTGCACATGTGTGTTCTATTCCCATATTAATGGTGGGTTGAGGAAGTCAGCTTAAAGCTTGCCCTTTCCACAGCCTCTCTATTCCAAATCATTGATTCACCTTGCCCCTCCATAATGACAGCTGTCAGGGCCTTTCCATTTTATCCTTACAACCAGCCTAGGATGTACATGAATGTGTGTTTTGCCCTGGAACACTCAAATAAGCTCCACAGCTGCATGAAGTTTCTCCTTTGCTTTGCCCTGGGTTTCAAAACACACAGAGACACGCACAGAGAGAGCTGCTTTACAGTTAGACTTTTTCTTGGGATTCTCTAACATTATGTGTGTAAATATGTAGCAGAGAACTAAGCACAGGCACAGCTCTGGGTAAGAGAGTTGAGAGTTCAGCAGCATAAACAGTGTCAGCCCTTGCAGGGAAACACAACCCCCCCTTTCCTTGTTTGAGGGAAACAGGCAGAAAGACATTGTGGTTGTTCCCAGAGCAACACTACAGTGTGCCTGAGAGATAATCAGGTTCACCACAGGGTGTTCCCACACAACCGCCCCCCTTGGTCCTCTCACCACTATGTCAGGGGACATGGTGGCTGAAGCCATCTTGTCTGTTTTCCCTACAGTGATTGTGAGCCCTTTCTTGCCTGCCATGGTTTTTCTCCTTTTACCTTTTTTTCCCCAGAGATCACTTTTCATGATCTTTGAGATGGTAGCCAATTTGGGAGGCTGTCACTGATTCACCATCCCTTTTTATTTTTTTAATATAAGAATTTTGCGCATTTTTCTTAATTTTTAAACAATTATTTTAGTCAGACTTGCGAAGATGTGCACTTGCGGGGTCCAAAATGGGAAGCCTCACATGGGCAATGTCTTGAGAGGTGTCTGCTGTCAAAAGGCAGCAGGGATCAACCACTGACATTGACTGGAGAGTCTGCATCTAGGCAATTTTTTACTGTTCACTCTATTGACAGCTGTCAAAAGCTGAGCTGTCAAGGGAAAGCAAAGCTGCAAATGATCTTTGTGAAAGGGAGTTACAAGTAGATCATCCCTTCACAGCAAGATTCTCTAGAGGGTTTTTCTTTCCTTTTGAGAGCAGACTCTTTTAAAAATTATTTTTATTTATTTAAACTTTTTCTATACTGCCTGTATTTCCATAGAAATCTCTAGATGGTTTATAATAGTAAAACATCAAAACAATTTACAGTACTTGATTAAAACTGAACTAAAGGTCTTGGTCTGGCACTGGAAAGTATAAAAAGTTGGCACCAGATGAACCTTTCTGTGGAACATATTCCATCATTGAAGCACCACCACTGAGAAGCCTTCTCCTTGTAACAGCCCTCCTCACTTTCTTCAAGGACGCTTCTCAGAGAAGGACCTTTGTAGAAGATCTTAAGGACCAGCTAGGTGTACACAGAAGGTGTATTCAGAGTCCTCACACTGTTTCATGAGACTCTAGATGCTCAGGAAAGTGGAAGAGTGTGAGCCACACCATTAATAGGAACACTGGGCCTTTACAGCTTCCTTTTTAAGCTGACAAGGCTAATCGGGGGGGAGGGGGGCGGGAGTTGGGAGAAAACCTTCCCAAAAATCCATAAGTTTGACCAAGGTAGTAGATGGCCCAGGAGGCTCCTTCTGACTTGGTCTGTTTCTATATTTCTGTGTTTTAAAAAATTAATACAAAAAATCTGCACAAATTTCTTGTACTTAAAGTTAAGATGTGGCATATCACAGACAGTCCCTCCAATGTGCCATTTGGGAGCTTCGGAGGACTGTCACCTCAAAGATCACAATAAGTGATATCCAAAGCAAAAGGGGAGGGAGAAGGGGGAAAAAAAACAAAGGCAAGTGAAGAAGAAGAGCTTAAGATCACAGCAGGGGATGTGGGAGCCAGCAACTGGTACTCCACCATGCTACCTGGTCATCTGTGGGGTGGCTGTCATTGGTGGTGACCCAGGTATGCTCAGCAAGAGAAGCCCCTTCCTGCAACCAGTGATGGGGCCAGTAGCCCAGAGTAGACAACACAACAATCCATCACAGGTTTGCCAACTCCAAAAACAAGCCACCCTTGTGGAAAATGGTCCAAATTCACACAACATGGCAACCTACAGTGGATTGTCACCAAGAAGGATCCTTTTGTCAAGAGGACCAGACATTCTATAACTGTGATGCTCAAGAATAATTTTATTTCAACTCCTTTCATCCATAAGTACAAGATGGGCATTAACTTCACACAAAATGGTGTGCAAAGGTGCACTCCCTTTTCACTTGCGTAAGTATCATGTGTGAAGCAGTGTTATTTGCAACTGAGGATAATGTGATCTGTACATTGTTGTTAAAAAACAAACTTTACCTGTCTGCGGCATAGCCTAGAATGAACCCTCCTACTAGAAAGCCCAGATTGAGAAGAGATTGTGTCAAATCTATTAGCCATCTGTTCTCACACACAAGGTCAAACTGTGGGAGGAAGCAAAAAGATACAACATGTTTTTGTAGAAGAGAAGGAGCTTTTAGTCAACCAAAGATTCTGCCTTTGAGCAAATGAAAGATTTACCATTTAACATATATTAATACTGTTTTGTGAACTATTTTTGTCCTCATACTCATATGCCAGTTCCCATTCAGTAAGCTACTTAAACCATTTGGGGATTCACTATGCGATCTCTTCATGGTGTTCTCATGATTGCCCACTCATGGAAGTTTGCAGGGATCCCCCAAAGCCTCTCCCATGTTTGCCAGCCTTTTTAGGATTTTTTGGTTTGTTTGTTTAGAGGGAAGAAGATCTGGTATTACATTTTAAAACACAACAAACTGGAACAAAAACCTGAGGAGAAGTTGCAAATCCACTCTACCATGTGGTTAATGCATTGTACAGAAAGGCAAACCCCTGGAAAGAACCCTGCAAAAACGACATATTTTTCCTCCTGCAACAAAAAGAAAAGAAGACTCCTTGGCAAAACTGGGTTAAATCCCTCATGTAGAGAAACCCATAGTGGACTTGCATGCATGAACTGTTTCATTGGTTTTTTAGACCACTGCTGATAGGACCATGCATGTTGCATTATTTCTTTGGCACTTTATAAGTCAAAGCCAAAATACTAGTTGAATGGTTTAGTTGTTTATTAATTATTTCAAAGTGTTTATTTATTTACCAAGAATCTCATGTTTAGAATGATAGAACAGTTCTGAGGCATTTGGATAAGATCACAAATTCAAACACAGAGCATAGACATTTGAAGAAGAAACACTTTGTGTACCAATTTGCATCAGTTACTGAATCAATTGCAGAAAAAAAATTGTATTACATTTTTGTTATGTTAGTTGCGAAGTTGTGCCCGACCCATCACAACCCCATGGACAACATTCACTCAGGCGTTCCTGTCCTCCACCATCCCCCAGAGTTCACTTAAGCTCACATCAACTGCTTCAGGGACTCAATCCAGCCACCTCATCCTCTGCCGTCCCCTTCTTCTTTTGCCATCTATTGTTCCCAGCATTAGACTCTTCTCCAGGGAGTTCTTCCTTCTCATTAGGTTGCCAAAGTATTTGAGTTTCATCTTCAGCATCTGGCCTTCTAAAGAGCAGTCAGGGTTGATCTCCTCTAAGACTGACTGGTCTGATCTCCTTGCAGTCCAAGGGACTCGCAGGAATCTTCTCCAGCACCACAATTCAAAGGCCTCAGTTCTTTGGTGCTCAGCCTTCCTTATGGTCCAACTTTCGCAGTCATACATTGCAACTGGGAAAACCATAGCCTTGACTATACACACTTTTGTTGGCATTTGTATTAAATAGTATTTAGTTAAAGAAAAAAGAATGGGCTGGATCCAACATCTACCTTCCATAGTAGGAAAATCTCCAATCATGGAAGTCCTTCTGCCTCATTTTTGGGGATCCCTTCCAGCACACTACCAGGACTCCCAATTCATCAGCATCTCCTGATTCTCACTGTAGCATTTTGAGGACTGGATGAGAAGCCATGGGAAGGAGGAGGTGGAAAGGGCGGCACAGTGTAAATCTGGCTCTAATCCAATGGATTGTGCAGCCAAAAAAAGTATTAAAATATACTAAACAAAGTTGGCATAAGGGAGACTGCCATTTCCAACATCACTATATCCCCACAATGAACAAGGAATGAATAAAACTCTTCAGCACCATATTTTGGTAATTGCTGGATCAGTGGAGTACCCTCCTCCACTGGTGAAAAATTCAAATGCTGTTTTTTCTCCTTATAGCTGTAGTTCTTTCTAGTTTATCTTTCCAGAGTTTGTCCTGAGAAAGCCTTAGCTGAAAATATGGGGGAGGGCAGAATTATGAGGAATAAAATATGGAGGTAAGAGACAAAGGAGAAAAAATGGTAAGAGACAACAAGTAAATAAGGAAACAGACTGTTTACATCCAAGCCTCTCCTGCTATGTCCTCCTGACCAGAAACAAGTTTTTTTTCAAAAGCATTCAGCATAGAAAACAACTGACTTGGTTAGTCCACGAACTAATTTTAATTGATGCCTTGTCCTCTATAATAAAAAGACTCATATTCAGTTTTAATAAGACATAACGCATAATAGCACAGGGACTTCTCTCTCTCCAAAGCCCTGCCAGCAAAAGCCAAGAAGGCTAGGATAAGAACAGGGTCTTTTAATACCTCCTCTTCCTCCAATGTCTAGCTAGGTGGGCCTCTCATTTTGCCCAGCTGACTTACCAGGCAATGGTTGGGACAGCAATGAACAGTGGATCCAGGGCTCTCTTCCCTGCCTTCCCACCTTGACGCCCTCCCTATTCATTTCCGAGGATGCTGCCAGGTGCTGCTGCGCACCCCAAAGAGAATATGGCAGAGTTGGAAAAACAGGTAGAAAACATATAACCAAAAGAATCAAGGGCCTGGAGCAATGGCACTGTGAGGAAAGGTTATAATGTCTATGATCGTTGTTTAGCTAAGGAAAAAGGCAAGTGAGGTGATACTTAATGGAAATGTACAAAAATGTGCTTGCTGTGGAAAAAGTAGAAAGAGAGGCATTGTTATTCCTCTCATACTCGAACCTGGGCTCATCCCTTGAAACTGATTGTCTGAAGACAGGACAGATGATGAAGATGTGGAATATTTCATGCCACTCCTCCAAACATCCTCCCAGAGGGAAAGGTGATAGGAGGGCAGCAAGGGGCAAATTAATTCTTTTTAGTGTGGCTGTTCTCCCTTTCATCTCCCTCAGCAAAGCCTGCTGGAGTGGCCGCTGGTCAGGACTTCTGGGGGAGACCTTTCATCATGGCTGTGGAACAGCTCTCCTTCTTCCCACAGTGCACAGTCAAATGCTGGAATTTGTTCCTGCAAGAACCAGGCCTCATTTTAGCTCACCACCTCAGCAAGTTTTCTGATTCTGGATTGTTCTTGGGATTAAGACTGGCTCCTTTGTGGGTCTTTCCCTCAAGTTTTCCTTTTTCTGCCATTCCATAGGTACCTTTATACATCCACAAAGGGATACTGCAGTATAGCAGACCAGAAGAAATATACCAACTATTACATTTTATAGAGATTTATAGCAAGCTGGGCCTTGTATTGTTCATTATTGTCATTCTAAAAAAAAAGCGATGGAAATACTCAGGAAGCACACAAGTTGCCTTGGAGGTTGAAAATGCCATGCAAAGTGCCCTCAAACTACGATAGGTGAGGAATTACGTGAGCACAATAAATGCCTCATGTAGACAAGCCTGTAGTGATGGCTGTCAGTTTGGGGGCCTGTGGAAGAGCATTAGGTGCATTCCTGGAGGGAAAGAGTACCAATGGCAACTAGTTGTGATGGCGAGGAGCTACCTCTTGTATCAGAGACAGACAACACTTGCTGAGGGATGTGAATGGAAAGGTACAGTTGCACACACATCCTATTCAGCATCAGGTTGTGCCCTGTGTGAAAAAAGACTGCTGGATTGGATGGCTCCTTGGTCTGATGCATGGTGGCTCTTCTTTTATCCTTAAAAGCAATCCCTGACATTCCCAGGTAGATTGGGAAAAGATGGTTGTCTACAATTCTGGAGAACAGCTGGTTGCTCAACAGTACTGAGCGAACAGGACCAATCTGACTTATATGATCAGCATTCGATTTTCCCACTAAATTAGGATTTTCAAAGTAATCAAGCAGATGTTCATTAATAACATAGAAACACAATTCATCACAACCCCTTAAAACTTTCATCAAGAAATCTAATGAAAATAATCCATGGAATTGATCTTCAGACTGATCACCTGAAGGATTTGGTGACAATTACCACTTGTTAGTACTCAATAGTTTTTTATGGTCTTCTGTTTAAGTATCCCCTTACTGTTTTAGGCTCAGCACTGGTCCAATGTTTTATATTTTTTTCAATCATAGACATATATAATTCTCATACTGCATTTTAAATCCATATTTGAGGTACATTTGCCCATTAACTTTGTACATTGCAATCCATATTTTGGTTCTGCAGCATAGAAGTGAAATAATTAATTGCAGGTGTGACAAAAACAAATTTATCATATGTGGGAAGAAAACGGCGAATGCCAACATTCGCCTACATGTGCCTTCCTGTGTGTTGATACTTCTGAAATCTTTTGCAATGTAAGTACGGTGGTGCCAATGCATTTTCTCATCCTGATTTATGTACCAGGAAGAGAACTGGTTTCTCTGTGCCTGCACTGAGTTCTATCCAGTGGTGTCCTTCCAACAGCAGAGCAGATACTTCTGGTGGACCAAGCTTCCCTCCCTGCTGTAACCTCCCATCCCACAGATCTGCTCTAGAAGGCTGCGGGATCCTCTGGAACAGATCTGGGGAGTTTGTGAGGGGCTGAAGGAAGGAGAAAGGAAACTCCCATTGCACAAGTGGCAATCCGCTCCTATAAGTGTGCATTTAGTCCCTGCATGATGTGTGTCAGGGGTGGGGATACATGTCCTTAGCTATGTTTATTCATGTACAGGGAAAGTGGTACACAGCCCTTAAAACAATCATGTTAAAGTTTTGCCACTTTAATAATAACCATTTTTCATGTAAGTCTATACCAGTAACATAAATTAAACTTCTTTTCTTCCTCTGGGAAAGAATTATCTTTCTTCTAAGGACATATCCCTCTGGTGCACTCTGCCAAAAGTATATACAGACAATGATCCAGAATGTGTCCTCCATGGTGAAACAGTGTCAAGATTACAACAAAAAGAAAGCAGCCTTGGTGCTTCATTTGAACAGGAAATTTGGAAGCTGGTCCAGAAGCTTGTGTCTTGCCTTAGAGGATGCGTGAAATTTTGGAGTATTTTCTAGAAAAAAGCACTTTAAAAACTCCGTGTGTCCTCCCTCCTTTCACTCAGGCAACCTTCAGCAACAATCCCCTGGCTTACACACTCTCCAGGAAGTAGTCACACAGATGGAGGGAGGCTGGATCTAATGACTACTTAAATGAGTTTTCTCCAGCTCTGTTTTACCTGCTTTCTCTTCATT